CACTAAAATGAATTGCAAATAAATAACTATAATTTTACATCTTAATCAAAAAATATCAATGTGCTTTACAATTTTTTTCTGTTTTTTGTTAAGCAGTACATTTGAAAATTTATAAATAGCAATAATAATCAGATTTTAGCATCAAATTTCTAATTTCTATTCAAGAGCTTGGATCAACCATTACAGAGGCATAAAAAATGATGCTGCTAATTACCAAAAGTGTTAATTTAGGGCAGCTGTGGCATAAACCCTACATCAGGCAGTGTCTAATACTGCATAAAATGCAAAATATAAACATTTACAGCATATCTGAATATGGTGTCATTTAGTTATTCCTTAAAACAATCAATCAGTTCTGGTGCTTTACTGGAAACATAAGGGGCAGTAGATTTTACTGTTTTATTATTGTGTAGTGTTGGTTGGTGTGTTGAAAATTTTGTCTAATGATATCTTTAAAATTATTGGCGTTATAGGCAAAAGAGCGAAATTATTATTATTATTCTTGTTGTTGTTATTATTAATCTATTTTTTGCATAAGCAGGGATTTATATAGGATTACAATGGCCCATTCCTCTGTCATTTGTACATAAAAAAAGAAAAAATAGATCAAATATAACAACCAAAATAACCAAATAGTGTAGCATTCTCAGTCTCTATTAGAAAATATTGTGTTGTTGGCACAGGGCTGTGGAGTCGGGCCTCAGCAGGCTGGCTGTTCTGCTTTTAGGTTAAATGTAATGGTAGTTTTTGCTCCCACTGTTTTTACTCAGCATATGGCTCATTAGTGTTAATGTTTAATTAATGTTCCCATAGCTAAGTTGGCTTTTAAAAGTGGACTTACATTTAGACTTATATTTCCAAAATTTGGGGCAGAAATTATTCTGCATTGAGGAAAAATACGTGTTAGTCTTGAGTAAGATGTTGCCTCTTCTTCACCGAACAAACCAGCTTCAATATTTAAAATGGAAAAAAGTGCATAAAGCAGACACAGCTCGTCTGTTTTTATCAAAAGTTATTTTTGGAGCATCTCTGCTCTCTTTTCTTCATCCTCCATCTGTCTTTACTGTTGTTGAATGTGGCACAGAGCCCGTCACAGCTCTCAGCAGACTCTTATTCATGGTGTTACCCAGCATGCTATACTCAGTGGTGTAATTTTTTTTTATAAATGTGCCGTTTCTAGTGTTAGTAATAGTTATTCTGTACTATTTTCTCATGTTGAAGAAAGTTTATTTAATGTATATGAGTCATATGGTTGTGAGTAAGGCGGTCTGCTTAAAATACACTCATCAAGCTTCTCGTTGCCAGTAATGTAGTGCATTTAAACCCCAGTGCACATTTTGTTGGTTCACTGGTATATTAATATTGGAAAAATGAATTTTATGTTAAGTTGAGAGCAGCATCTGGGTACAGGGTATGTTAAATGTGCTTGATTATGGTAAAAATGATCAGTACTAAAGTACACAGCTATTTCGTTTAGTTATCATTAACATTTTAGCCATTGCTGAAAATGATAAACAATTTATATTTGTTAGTCTGTGTTCAAAGAGCTAAATCTAGGGGCTAAATGCTAAGAGCTAAATGTACTTTTCTTGTTGACCAAAGGCCATCTTTTGTCGTCTTGGCTCAAGCGAGCTAAACATTAATTTAATTTGAGCCTTTAGGTAGGCGCAGAAGCAAACCATTGTAAGGCATGAGCCAAAAAAAAGTGTGAAACTGATTATTATTAGATTATTGTGCTGACAAGTTATAGTATATTTTTCAATTTCCATCCATCCATCTTCATCCGCTTTATCCGGGGCCGGGTCGCGGGGGCAGCAGCCTAAGCAAAGAGGCCCAGACCTCCCTCTCCCCAGCCACCTCCTCCAGCTTATCCGGGGGAACACCAAGGCGTTCCCAGGCCAGCCGAGAGATATAATCTCTCCAGCGTGTCCTGGGTCTGCCCCGGGGCCTCCTCCCGGTGGGACATGCCTGGAACACCTCACCCAGGAGGCGCCCAGGGGGCATCCTTGTCAGATGTCCGAACCACCTCAGCTGGCTCCTTTCGATGTGGAGCAGCAGCTGCTCTACTCTGAGCCCCTCCCGGATGGCCGAACTTCTCACCCTATCTCTAAGGGAGAGGCCAGCCACCCTTCGGAGGAAGCTCATTTCTGCCGCTTGTATCCGCGATCTCGTTCTTTCGGTCACTACCCACAGCTCGTGGCCATAGGTGAGGGTAGGGACGTAGATCGACCGGTAAATTGAGAGCTTCGCTTTTACACTCAGCTCCCTCTTCACCACGACGGACCGGTGCAGCGTCCGCATTACTGCAGCTGCAGCCCCAATCCGTCTGTCGATCTCCGGCTCCCTTCTCCCATCACTCGCGAACAAGACCCCGAGATACTTGAACTCCTCCCAGCACACCCTCACTACGCGTTTAGGTGCACATTTGTTTAGACCAAATGTGAAGCTGAAATGGTTAGCCAATTGAATTTGCTTATTTCTCTGTTTTGTGACTTAAAACTGAATTTCTTTGAATTTGGAACTGTTCATGTGATTTTATTTTAAAAAAAGGTACGGTAAACAACACCTTCTCATCACATTTGGATTTGACCATCCAACGAATAAGCTGATATTCATTTTACTTTTAGACAAGATTTCCCTAATTTTTGTGTAGTGATTTCTTGACTCATTTATGCTCTACCCAGCTGCTCAGAACATACAAACATGTGGTACCAAATGGGAAGCTGCAGAGTGCCCTCTGGTAGACAACCTATGCAATATCAGCACTCATAACATGGTTGAAGGGTGTTTCTCCATTCTTTCTTTCCGTTTTTAATATTTTCATTTGTGGTTTCATTTTTATTTAAAAATGATGATACCAGTCAATTGTCAAATAGCTAATATCTGCCAATTATATTGGTCCGGCTCAAGTATTTTCTTAATTGATTGGTTAACTTAAAGAATTTCCAAGAGTTTTCTAAAGCATGTGTCCACTAGGGCTGCCACAAACGACTAATCAGATCATGCATCCATTGAACGTAAAACGTACAGCTTATTGCACCAGCAGCATCTGCTCTTATATAACTATCATTAGCTTACAGCTTTAAGTGTTTCAGGTATGTGCTAACAAAAAATAAAGACAAGATGATAATTTATTAAATTTTAATGAAATTCGCAGATTGTTTCAGTAAAGTTTAATAAACTCCTTGCTATCTAAAATATAACAGGACACCAGAGTATATTCTCCAGCATCTCACACTTCTGATAATCAGCTGTCTGCTTGACGTTTATTCAGCTGTATAAAAACTATAACTTTAATCTCAGCCAAACCGATTTGCTCAGGAACAAATTAAATACTGAAAAAAGCCAAACAATAACATTTTTAAGTTATCTAAGTGACTTATATATGTTTAACCTCAGTAGCGAAAGACGGCGGTGGGTTTGAAAACGATTTGCCAGGAGTCCGGTGTTCTCACTGGCTCTAATGAGCCTTGAACCCCGGCTAGCTATCGAGCTAGTGGGTAACAGACGTCTCCGAAAATGTCGGAGCGCTTTTGAAAATATGTGGTGTCTTGATAAACTGAGCAGATATTTGAAGTTTACACAGCCACATTCTCGCCTGAAAATATGTTTAACGTTTATTTTGTGACCCAGAAAGAATAATAAGAGTAATATTGCTGCTGTCATTGTTGGAAACGGAGTAGGGCTGCGCTATGAATTCTGGGATAGGTTGGGCCACGAAGTATACTCCCGGCCCATCCTTCAAATCTGGGGAAATGAAGGGCGCATTTGTCGGAGTCTTCGTTGTGTCGCTGTAACGTAATCGGCCTACAAATGCAGGCAAAGGAGGATGCCGTTCCTGAATTTGGACACAGCTACGATACCGGACACAGCTTCTTCTTCTTCGGGGTTTAATGGCAGCTGACATCCTTGTACATGCAGTGCTGCCATCTTCTGTTTCAGTCCGTTATTACACTCTTAAATCCTACTACTTATTGCCACGTTTTTGGGATCTTGCAAAGCTTCAAACAACGCGTCGACTATTAAATTAGTCGTCGACGATTTTGATAGTTGACATAATCGTGACTAGTCAACTAATCGTAGCAGCCCTAGTGTCCACCCATTTTTTTTTTATTTTCCAGTAGCTAAATAATCCGGTATCATAGATAAAAGAGATTATCAGCAAATATTCACCCACAAAATATTCATTTTTAAGTATTAGTTGTTTCAGTTTAGTTGGAGCAGACCTTTTCAGCAGCAGCTATTTTTGGCTTAGCACAGGTTTTACTGATCACATTAATTACGCCTGTGTTCATAAATAGAACCGATTCTCTGCAGGTCTCATCAGTAACACCTGTGTTTTTGCACCATTTCAAATGAAAAGCGTTTGTATTCAGCTGCCATGAAAATGGTTCCTTATTATTAATAACATATTATTTAAGCATTAACTGCTGACTGTGTGGAGAGGACTTTGAAACCACATTTAGGCCTTAATGACAGGAAATGATTTAGAAATATAAAAGTTACATTAACATTTAAAGAGATAAGGAGATAAGGCGTGTTTGGACTGTGATACCCTAAAAAATAGTACTTTCTATGTCTTTAGTAATTATTTTAAGTATTTGTTAACAAAAGATTGGCTCAGGTTCAATCCAAACCATTCAGTACCTGACTTTTATTTTATTTTAGTGGTATTAGTGGTGTAGATGTGTCACAACCACATTAATTCTCAAAAGAAAATGAACTTCCATGAATTTAAATCCATGTTTCTAATAATGCTCCTGTTATTTGAGCTATTTAGCTGTTTTGTCTTTCTCTGGAGAATAAATAAGCAGAGTGAGAAAGAGAGGTAGCAAGGAAATGGAGGGTGCTGATCCCCCATCCCCCTCCCCCGATCCCTGCTACCTCCCCGCACTAAAAAAAAAAAAAAAAAAAATCAAGGAGAGCGCTCATCCAAGATGAGTGGACAGCCAGTCAGCCAATCAGCTTCTTGCACATTGGCTCTGTCATCAGGCTTGGATATTGAGGAAGGATCCACTGCTCTGCCGCTGCCTCTGCTGCTCTCGCTGTTGTATATGTGTGTGTGTGTGCGAGGAAGCCTGATGAAATGAAATGCCAGGATTGGGCTACCTCCAGGGAGAGCCTCTCCATCCTATAACGTGAGCCAGCCAGCAGCACTCTGGGATCGGGGAGAAGCTGCATCCATCAAGCGACGGGCCTCCGGAGGACCAGGCGTGATCCAACGGGAGGGGAGATTTTTTTTTTTTAATCATTCTTCTCTGCTGTGGAGAGAAGGGATTGTTGTCACCCCCCACATCCATCCTTTTTTTAAAATCTGGGGCCCCCTCCTTCCTCGTCCGCCTACACTCTTTTTGTTTTTTACCCCCTCGTTCTTCTAGAGGCGCTCACTGGAATATCAAACCTCCATGTATGACAATTTGTACCTGCATGGATTTGAAGACTCTGAGGCGGTGAGTGTTTGGATGGGTGTGTGTGTGAGTCTGCTTTTGTGCTCTCAGCTGTGTGTTTTTTGATGGAATTAGCTCACTGCACACACACACATATATACACACATATGAGGCCTTCGATGGGTAAGCCAACGGTACAGTGTAGCGTGATCGTGGTTTATGCTTGACTAGGAGGGGGTTGGGTGGGTGGGTGTTTGGCAGATGGCTTCTGATGTGTGACATTCACACTGTTGTGTGTGTTTTGCTTTATCTGCATGTGTAGTTGTGCATGTGATGGCAATCTGCCTATAAAGCTGTAAGATTGGACGTCAGGAAACCATCGGATCCAGAAGGAGCCATTTAGTGCTCATCACACTCATGAGGTGAACCAAGCCCAGATTCAAAGATTCAAAGATGCTAATCACTCGTTTCTCCACTCTGATAGATCCTCATTCCCACATTTGACTCTCTCAAAAATTGTCGAGCTGAGTGGTTTTTTTTTGTTTTGTTTTTTTAATCTGATCGTGCCACTGTGTGCTGTAAGGGCTCTGACGAGGCTTGGCGAAACATGCATCGTGATGTCATGAAGTGGATTCTGATGCTGATGAGTCACATGCTGAAGCTACTCCATTGGATAATAGCTCAAGTGCTACAGTGCACCCTCAAATCTTCCGCACAGATACATGAGATTGAGTTGAGCAGTGATGCAAAAATCATATCGGGGGGAAAAAGACGTTTTATATAAAATTGGCGGACTTGTGAAAACCAGATTATGAGACACATGGTCAAGATTAAAAACTGCAGAGACTTATGTGTTCTGACTTGTAATCTAACATTTAGACATTGTGCCCAATGAACTGCATCCTTATAATGCAACGCTGTCATTATTTGCTCCTTTCTTTCTGACTTGATACCCTGAAACTGAAGCTCAGGCCTCCTGTTCTAAATTAGCACTTCGCCTCCAAGTTAAAACTGAGATAACCCAAATTATATCATTATGACATCAGCAGGGTTATTTTCCCCCAGACCTGACAAAACTCCCTTTAGAGCCACAGATAACACCATGTAACAGCTCTCACAGGCTGAGGGTGAATAAACTGTACAGATGGACTATGTGTTTGATACAGCTGAAAAACAGCCAGCAGGAACATAGTGATGTGTTTGTTCCTCTGTAATCTTTTTGTTCTTGGAAGTCCTACAAAAACACCCAGTTAGTCTGGGATGGGATGCTTACTTTTCAAATGAGCAGCGTGCTGAAGTCAGGCCTTGCCACTGCTGGCTTGTAAAAAAAACAGCAAAAAAACAAAACAAAACAGAAAGTGCTTAGCTGTGATGACTAAATTGATTGATCTTCTTGGGAGTAATGGTCTTCCTTAATTGAATCATCATTAGTGGCTGATTGTTTAGATTAAAACAGCAGAAGGAAGCACTTGATCCAGTCGTGTTTGAGCAAAAAATGTTGCACTGAAGGAATTCCTACTGGGTGGCTGGATGAACTGCTGCAAGCCTGGCGTTTTTTTTGAGGCTCTAAGTAAAAGAAAAAATCCTGACAGGTTGCAAAAAAATGGACCATTGATATCCTGTATCAGATGTAAGGGATACGCAAGCAGGTGCCAAAATTTGTAAATTAAATGTACACGAATAGCATGCTAATAAGAAATTTCAGCATAACCGGTATAAAAATGTTCAAATATCAACCAACAAAGTGACAAAAGCTCCTTTTCTCTGTCAGCAAACTACCTAATTAAGTACTTGAAGAAGATGACGACTTCTTATGCGCTGGCGATTGACATGCTAACATTAGCTGCAGGTCCTTTGGCAAATTTGGCTTTCAACCTATCAAATATTCTCCACTTATCAGCTTTTAGAGATATCTTTATTTTGTGTTTAACCAGGTGTTTCCGGCAGGTTAGATGCATTGCCCTGACCAGCTTTGCATTGTGCACTACAAATGCTGCCGAGAGCATAGAGTCTGCATCGAGTTTTGTTACAACACCTACTTTCAGCTCGGCACTGCCACCATTACCTTGCATTTGTTCTTCAACACATCTCAGGGGTCACGTCGCGTGGCCTTGCTCAGATTCTTCTTCTCTAACTCAGATCTGCTCTGTAGGTGTATAGGGGGAAAAAGTCAGGACAGTATAGTATTGCAGTAGTTGCACAGACACCACATATTGATATTTTAATAAATACATTAAAATGCACTGACAATACCATTAACCAGAGATCTCTTATCCACCATTGTCCTGAGATAACATTAGCCAAGCAAACTGAAATTAGATTGGCTCAACTGAAAAAAAAAACATCCAACAGTGGACACATTTAGCTGAACAAAGCTACCTTCTAATTTGGAGCAAGCCAACGGCTCAGTCACACGAGTAAAAACATGACAGCAACTGCTTTACATCTAAAATAATAACAGGTGGCTGTCTGATTGTATTGAATTTTGTTTTACATATAGTAGAAGGAGGGTAGAAGAGGACTTTACTGCTGGTTACCAGCTGGTTGTATCCTGGTTGTATATCTTAAATGTAAATTTCTGTATACGTAGACAGCAACAAATATGTAATAAAAAAAAAAGGTTTATGACAGTGAATTGCTGCATTATCAGAAACAGATTACATGTAATCACCAGCTTGACCCCAATCAATTGCAGACCGTCTGTCTTATTAAGCGAGGTTTTCGTCACAGTGTTGTTATGTTTGGCATTTGGCATTTTTTTTGACCCAAAACAACAAAAGAAAATCTGAAGTGAGATAACTTTATCTTATTAGACAAAACAAGTATTAACATAGTTTAACTTTAAGGACATAATTTGGAGCTGGTATTGGAGTAACATCGTATCGTGGGGTGCTTGGGGATTCCCACTTTTAGTGCTGTGGTTACTTGGTAGTTTTGACCCAACCCTGCTGATTAGAGGTCTTCAGTTTGCACAGTGTGTTTGGTCTGTAAAACAAGTCATGGGCAGATACTTGCATATGTTTGTCTTATAAAAGCAAACAAGGTATTACTGTTTTAACTGCACCAGGTAAGCATTAGTTTATATTTCATTTTCTTATTTTGATATTCTTTGGTTTTAATAGTCCATAGTAGCTTTATTTTTTCTGTAGGGAAAGGTGTTCTACCAGAAAAACCAAAATGTTGCCATGTGCATAAATGTCTGTGGTTATGTTTGAAGTATTTTCTGTAGCTGTGTAGACTGTAGTTTGACTAATACAGTTTCATGATTGTATGGGATTATTGTTTCAGATGAGTAAAAAATAACTAGAAGACATCTCTCACTCTCTGAGAACAGAGAATCATCTTCATCAATTAAATGTATGAAGACATGCAAACTGCTGACAGCACAAGAATAGAAATCCACTTTGTCTGAGATGCTCCTGGCAGCCTACTCTTTTTTTTTTATAAATATATATATATATCGTTGATTTTACCTGTTCTGCATTCAGTGTGCCAAGCCACCACTCAGTATTTGGCACTGTGATTGTAAGCTGATGCGCATTGAATTCCAAAACTTCAGCAAGTGATCCCATAAACAATTTATCTTTATGGTGCTTAGCAGCTCAGATGCTTTCAGATAAAGCTAAAGCACATCCTTGTTTTGAAACGTGTCCTCTATCACCATGTGACTGAATGAACCTCAGAGCCTTTGTGCTTTTTTTTTTGTCTTTTCAGAGAGAAAATTCAGGTCATTTGGGTGCATCTGTCCACACTGTTCTAACTTTTTCTTTAAAGTCCCTGATATTGGGACAGTGTTTCGCTGTGCAGAGATGTTTTTTTATGTTAGAGGCCTTGAGTGTAGTTTTCATTTTCTTTAATAACCCTATCAGGAACAGAGTGCTAATATTAGTTTGGATTAGCCATAACTTGATAACAAATTTAAAGCACTATTTAAAGCTATTTCCTGTTCTTGTTGGGCAGCAACTCTTGCTCTAGAATAATTTTGCCATGCTTAAAGACAACATACTCCCAACATACACCCATCAGGCATAACTTTATGACCGCCTGCCTAATATTGTGTTAGTCTCTTTTTTGCCACCAAAACAGGTGTGCTGTGGTATCTGACACCAAGATGTTAGCAACAGATCCTTTAAGTTCTGTAAGTTGGTTCCTTCTTCCCATAGTGCATCCTGGTGCCAGATATTCCCCAGGTAAGCGACTTGGTCCTCCACATGATGTAAAAGAAAATGTGACTCACTAGACCAGTCTACCTTCTTCCAGTGCTCCATGGTCCAGGTCTGATACAGGTGTGCCCATTGTTGGTACTTTGAGCAGTGGACAGGAGTCAGCATGGGCATCCTGACTGGTCTACAGCTATGCAGCTCCATATGCAACAAACTGCGATGCAGGGTGTATTCTGACACCTTTCTGTCAGAACCAGCATTACATTTTTTCGCAGTTTGATTTACAGCAACTTGTCTGCCTGATCACATGGGCCAGCCCTCTGTACCCAATCATCAGTGACTCTTGGTCACCACTGTTCCTTCCTTGGTCCATTTTTGATAGATACTGACCACTGCAGACTGGGAACACCCCACAAAAGCTGGAGTTTTGAAGATGCTCCTACTCAGTTGTTTAGCCATCACAATTTGTCCCTTGTCAAATTTGCTCATATCCTCATGCTTGAATATTTTTTTCTGACTCAAACTCATCAACTTTGAGAACAAAATGTTCACTTGCTCCCTGATATATCCCACTAACAGGTGACCTGTCAGTGGCCATAATGTTATGCCTGATTGGTGCACTTATCAAAAGATGTATCCAGTCTGTATAGTTTCAGTAATCTCTGTGATTTTTTTCGTAGGGATCAGCTGATTCATACACTAGCAGACCATCAGACTCAGATGTCTCTCTCGAGGAGGAGCGGGAGGTGCAGGCTCAGGTCCAGAGCCAGAGCCCAAGCCAGAGTCAAGGACCGGGACAGAGCCGACAGGAGAGGGAACAGCAGGCTGCCGTTCAACTGGAAAGAGCCAAGGTAGACAGGCTGTGACAATGTTCATGCTAGTTTATCTTTATTATGGATTTTTTCCCAGATCAATAAAAAGTCTTCAAGTCTGTTAGAGTAAGAAGTTTTTAATCATTTTAAATATACTTTTCTGATCCTCACTGAGCTTGTGTTTCCGTCCTTCAGAGTAAACCTGTGGCATTTGCTGTAAGGACCAACGTCAGCTATTGTGGCGCACTGGATGAAGATGTTCCAGTGCCAGCCACAGCCATCTCCTTTGACGCCAAGGACTTCCTGCACATAAAAGAGGTTAATGAGTACTTTGTATTAAAACATCATAACTACGGCATATATGTGATGATACAAAATTCAATTTGATCTGATCCCTTTTCATGTTTGCATCTTCAGAAGTTCAACAATGACTGGTGGATCGGTCGGTTAGTGAAAGAGGGTTGCGAGATCGGCTTCATTCCCAGCCCTCTGAAGCTGGAAAACATTCGACTCCAGCAGGAGCAAAAGAGAGGACGAGTCCAAGGGTAAGTAGCACAAAACCACAGTCGTCGTCTCATTGTTTTTCTCACGTAAATCAAACCTTACTTGATCACACAAACGTTAACGTAAGCACAAAAACCTGGCGTCTAATGCGTTGAGTAACAATAAGACAAGAATCATTTAAAGTCAACTTTGCACCAAAATTGTAGCATTTTGATCGTAAGAAGCAAACATTATTCAGATAAACCAGAATTTGGTAGATTTTGTAGCTTCCACTGAGTGCACTACTTCTACGTGTTCTACTTGCCACATTTTTTTAAAGCAAAGTATTTAAAATCTCATGAATCTAGCTGACATTTTATTTAAATACATATATTGCTAGGAATGAGAATGAGGTAGCATGGAAATAGATGTCCTCAGTAATTTTAGATCACCTTTGGACAAATCATGGTTATAAACAGGTAGAATTGCCCAAACAAACACACAAAAAAGACAAATTAAGCTGAGAGTTTTACAGTACAGTACATTTTGGTAATAATTTAATTAACCTTTCCTGTGTGAGGTTTCGTTGTTTTTCTTTGCTTGACAGTGAACTTGCTATCTTTGTGTTTAGGATTGTGTTAATGGGACACAACAAGACATTTAAGCAATTCAACTTTTATATGGAACTACTGTGGACATGTTTTCAATTTTATCAACATAACTTTTGTTCAGCTAATGAGATAATCAAATTGCTCAAGAAAATCCTGTAATTAGTTGGGGGAGTAGGAAGGGAAGGGGTGCCGTGGGAATTTTGACTTGTCTTAGCGATGGAAATGGCGATTGATTGCGATCCAAAATGCCAGTTTATATTAACAACCTGAATTGATTCCTTTATCAGCTTCACACCTTTGAATATTTTGATGCAATACTCTTGACACAGCCCCTGAGACTGCTGTTTAACCAATACAGAAGTTAAAATAAATTCATCCTATATAAAAGCATGCAACTTCTCCATAAAAGCCTTGTCATCTGTTTGACTGTGTTGGTGTCTCACTGTGTGTTTTTTTTTATTTTATTTTATTTTAATTTACTCCTTAAAGTTTCCTTTGACTCTTTCGTGACTCATGCCCATTTACTCCGTCCTCTCCACTCGTGTCGACTGTACCAGTCCAGCGGTTTCAATAGCTGTAATTAGCACACCTATCAGCCTTCGAGTTTCCTTGTGTGTGTGTATAATGTGTCTTGAATGTTCTGTCATCCAGAATTTGTACAATAACTCACAGGCAGTTCCCCGAGCCTTGCTGCTGAGTTTAATACTAATCCTACTCGACTGGAATGCTGAAGCTTCACTTAACAGCGTGGCTTCTGTGGCTTTTTGTCATCGAACCTCACAGACAGGGAGAGACATTCGAACCCCCGTTAAACAGGACTACTCTGTGTAACTGAAAATTAGGACCACTATGTTAGAGATTGCTTGCTTCGGCAAGCGCGTACGCTAAATTGGATACGATACAGAGAAGATTAGCATGGCCCCTGCGCAAGGATGACACGCAAATTCGTCAGTAGCAATACTTAGGCAGGCTGGGGCATTTACATAATGATCACTTGGTACAAAAGGAAACACACTGTGCCAGGAAAATATCCCCCAATCCATTACACAACCACAACGCCAAGTTCTAACCAAATGCCAAACCAGAAATCATCAGAGCAGGCAACATTTTTCAAATCTTCTATTGTCCAATTTTGATGAATCGTAGTTTCCTATTCTTACCTGACAGGAGTAGTGTCTGGTATGGTCTTTGGGTGCTATAGTCCTCCTGCTTCAAATTTTGCCATGTTATCCATTCAGAGATGCTCTTCTGCAGACCTTGGTTGTAATGAGTGGTTGTTTAAGTTACTGTTGTTCCTTATCATTTCTGAGCAGTCTAGCCATTCTCCCCTGACCTCTGGCATTTTCACCAAGAAAGAAGATGCTTACTGGCCCTTTGAACATGAACAGTCACATTTAAAATCACACACAATAAAGAGTCTTTGAAAAGGTGTACCTAATAAAGTGTCTGCTGAGTGTATAATAGCTGAATAACAATGGGCCTCATACTCTTTTAAAAATGGACATCTGTAACAAAAAGCCATCTAAGGTGAATTCCCAAGTTTCATGAAAATTATTTTAGTTCTAAAAGAAGATGCAACTTTCACTCAGTTTCTGTTCAAATTATTCACTGTATATTTAAAAAAAGAAAGAAAGTAACTTGAAAAAATTCTTGAATTAATAATTGTTAATGCTGTGATTAGTTTTGCCATACTTAAGATGATGTAAATATTTGAGGAAGATGTGAAGTTTTATGGGGAAAAATTCAGCAGTGGACCTAAGTGATGACAGAAGGGGGAAATTCCAACTTGGGCAACAAGCAGACACGAGAGGAGACTCAGGAGAAGTAGGTAAAAAGATATGCGAACTAAATGCACACCAGGGAGAAGGGCAACAAGAGATGAACTCAATCAGAGAGTAATAAGGGCAGGAAAAGAACAAAAGCAGGAAGTATAAACGCAGTCACATAAATTTCAAAATAAAACTGGAATTAACTATGCTAAACACAAAGAGTAAAGCCAAACAGACAATCAGGAAGACACAGGAAGGAACACAAAGAGAAAATGAAAATACTTACAGTAGAAACTATTAGAAAAATTAAAAAATATGGGAAACTACAGAGACTTGTGTTACGGTGTTCTGATGTTTAAGGTGGTTTAGCTGACCAATATTAAATTAATTAAATGTTCATTATTATTAGTTTTAGTTTTTATTTTAGTCTTAGCATACTATAGATTTTTTTTTTTTTAGGTTTCAGTCCTTTTCTGAATTAATACTGTGGGTTTTTTCTGTCTTTCTTTTTCCCATTGTCTTTTCCAGTAAGTCTGGAGGGAACTCTTCTTCCAGTGTGGAGGATGAGGTTTCTGCCTCTATCCGACCACTCATATCCTCAGCAGGTGAGAACATCGGACAGGGGGAGAGGGCTTTTAATAGCCAGCTGCCAGCTTAGAGCCAAGCTTCTCGGCCACAACAACATAGAGAAAATAAGACTCTAAAACCTTCCCATGTCTCTGCGTAGAGCATAAGTTCAGAGTTGTTGGTACATTTTCCCATGATCCTCCTCTTCCTCCAGTTGAGGACTGCAGGCGCTCTGAGACTGGGGCTTACCACAGTGTGAACCCAACGACAAGACTATGACCCCCCCTCTGAACTGCACTCATGTGACTTTGTGAATATAACCTTAGGACAATAGAACTGCTTTTTTTTTCTATTTTTCATATTATAGTTATCCTTGGTAGGTTTCATTTGTTATGGCTTATAATGGAAAGTTGCATATGTGAAGCATGTTGGAGTGTTTCTGAAATATTCTGGTGACTCCTCCTGTGGCAGCAGCTACTGACATCACTGTCGCTGTCTTCTCTTTCCTCCTACAGGAAAGCAGAAACAGAAAGTGGTAAGTTGGTGACGGTAAAACACACTCATATACTATTCACTCAATTCTTGTTGTTGTGACGGGAACGGGTAGCATTTAGAGGAAGTTACAGTAACAGCGTACAATACTTCAGATCTACTGAAATATCCAACAACAAGTTATAATGATTCCTGTGACGCCATAATGCCATCACTGCGCAACATAATACATTATGATAGATACTTTACAATAAAAAAAAAACTGTCTCTGCTGTGTGGATTAAATATGAAGCCACATGTGGTTACCTAGTCTTACTGTTGCATAAAGGAGAGGAAAGTGGGGGAAAATGGTTGACCTGGCTATACTAACTCCCCCCCCCCCCCCCAAAAAATTAAAGCCAGTAACATCTTATGTCTAAGTTTATTATATTCACACGCTTCAGTTTGTAAGGGAATATGACATAGATCAGTACATATATAACAAGCATGAGAATTTATGCATCAGGCCATTTTTGCAGAAATATGTTGACTGAGTGCCAAAAAACCCAATCAAACCAAAGGCCAAGGAGTTCAAAACCAAGTAATCTAATCTAATCTAATCTAATCTAATTGAATCTAATCTAATCTAATCTTGTAAATTATATAAAAGTTGGGATCCAAAAAAACTTACCTGAAACATTTCTCATTATGAACATTGTTTACTGTCAGTTGATATACTTAGAGAGAGAGTGCAATAGATCATTATAAATTGAATTAATATCTGAATTTTGTAGGCAACTGCATATGCTATTTGGAAATTCAACCACCCCTGAATGCTTAATGTGAATCAGTCTCATCCATTTACATAATTTTAAGTTGTGCAGTTGAAAGACCTTGGTTTGATTCCAGAGAAAGTTACGCAGTGATGTTAAAAGACTATGCCATGTCACCAAAAGTATTATTAATATTTACTTTGTCCTAAACTTCAATGTTTTTATTCACCACAAAATATACCCCAATCTGATATTGTTATTACCTTGTAATACACAGTTTTTGTTTAATAAAATGCGGCTTTTAACTGTGTGAACTATCTACACATGAAATGTGTTGGCTTACATAACTAAATGATACCAAGTGTTTGCTGTTTTGAGTTGTACTGTGTCGTGGTCGTACCTTTATTGTGAAATTGGGTTCAACTGTAGTTTTGTGAGTGTTTGGGCAAAATCTGTGTACAGTGGTCGTTTATGTAGCAAATGATAAACACCGGTGCATTAACCACATTTTGTAAGCTAACATGTTAAATTAACGTTTATTTGAGATAATGTGTTAGATTTTTTTTGTAAAGTTGGGACAATCTAAAAGTATTCTTATTTTTTTTCTTTTTGCTTCATGCCCTGACATGGCAGTAAACCAGCTTCCCATTTACTACGTGTGGTTGTGTGTTGAGCTGACTCTGCAGTCCAGAAACCCGTTTCTAGGCAGACGTTTCGCCTCGTCACTGTAATGAAAGCATAGGTATAATAATGACGTCTTAGCTTTATTTAGTGTTGCAGTGACTCATGATAGTGAACCAGCATCAGCAAAAGCAGGTCCTGCCCTTAATGCAGCCATCATTATCACACCTGTGCTTCTCCTGCTGTGGCGGAGCCACGGCGTCTGCTATGAAAAAGGTTTATCGCAGCTGTCTGCTTTGCTTTTTCGTCAGTCTGTTGTCTCTTGTGGTTTTATTTTTGTCAGCCTGAGTGTACCGCTGCTTCTTTGTGTTAACAGACGGAGCACATCCCCCCGTATGATGTGGTTCCCTCCATGAGGCCTGTAGTTCTGGTGGGACCCTCACTCAAGGGCTACGAGGTAAGCTGCCTGCCTCTACAGCCGAATGAACAATCGGACGTTCTCACATTAAAAACAAACAAACATGAATAATCTCAATTTAATTACAAATAGGACAAGAAATGAGATGACTCCTGTACATTTTTCACTGAGTCCCCCAAAATAGCCTTCTGTTGGCACTGTTAATTATGAACGTGTCATCGCCCACGTAACATCCAGATTGCAGCCAGACTAGCAAGGAGACGAAGAGTTCAGATAAGAATATGTTGAGTAATTGGCAGATTTTTTCTTGTTGCTTCCAATACTGCTGATAATCGTGGCTTGTAGAAAAGCAGAATACTAGAACTGCTTTGAGGTACATGCAGTGCCAGGTATGGGACTGCGAATACTCCTCAATGATCACCAGCTTGTAGCTAGCTGTGTCCGTCATGTCCGTTTAGTGCTGGGAAGTCTAGACTGTTCTCAACTGTGAGCTGTGAGAGCCAATCAAAACCTTTCAAAGTAAAACCTAAAAGCTAGGAGTGTCTGAATGCTGACTTGTGGAAAGGTTGTTATTCAACAATGGTTTTTATGTTCTAAAGTATATTTGTACAGACAAATTATGTTCAGTTATTACAGTGGTGCAGGGTGCATGCCTTTTACCATGTTTCCTGTTTTAAAATACCAATTATAACAACAAATATCAGGTAAATGAAAAGAAAAAACTTTATACATAAACAACAGTACATTTCATTGATTTATGCTGCATTTGGTCACATGGTAACTATCTAAGCTGATGATGTCATTTCCATATTGCTCGCTCAGATGGGGCATCCGACATCATTATGTTTTTTTAGCAGCAGTAAAGTGCCATCTGTCTTGTTGTCCTGAATTTGCCTGATGGATGGTGGCTTATTCATACTGAGGATCACAAAGCACACAAAGCCATATTCCGAGATTAAGTCCCTGACCAATTTTTCATTTTTGCTTCGCAGGTAACAGACATGATGCAGAAAGCACTATTTGACTTCCTCAAGCACAGATTTGATGGCAGGTAAAGACAAATTAAATGCACACTTCTTAGGAAGAACTATAGAACTATTTTAATTCTAACATAGTCTTTATTCACTCCCAATAAATGGTAAGTAAAATATAAAGTTACTTGCAAGAAGAAAAAAATATGGAGAGTAATTCTTATTGGTCCTTTTTCTTCTCTGTGCAGTCTTCAAAATCGAGTCAGTGCCCTGGTTAAAAAAAATTATGTCTTCTTTATTACAGGATAACTATCACACGAGTCACAGCAGATATATCGCTGGCCAAAAGGTCTGTTCTTAACAACCCCAGTAAGAGGGCCATCATAGAAAGATCCAACACTCGCTCCAGTTTAGGTGAGTTTCACGTATATGTTGACTGAGCTATAGTCTGAAACTGTGAAGTTTAATTGTAAGTAGTGAGAATCATGCAAATGTCTAATGTCTGTCTTTGTCCCCTTAGCTGAGGTGCAAAGTGAGATTGAAAGGATCTTCGAGTTGGCCCGCTCCCTGCAGCTGGTGGTTCTGGATGCCGACACCATCAACCACCCTGCCCAGCTTCTCAAGACCTCCCTGGCCCCCATCATCGTCCATGTTAAAGTCTCCTCACCAAAGGTACTCGGATCATAGGCAGACCTTCAAAGAGGGAGATTTTTGTCGCACTAAGAAACATTTTTACTCTCTCTGATGGGTTTATTATCAATCAGGCCATGGGTTACAAGGTTATCAAGTCAAGGCTGGACAAAACAGGAAATTAAGCATATATGATCTTCACAGTGACTGTCCAACAGAGTCATTCAGTTGGAGACAAACATCGAGAACAAAGGTAATGGTCTCTCTGTTAGGCTCATGTTGTTTATCCACGGGTGTTACAGCTCATCACAAGCACAGTGTTACCTCAAAACTAGCATGAAGTCCTGTACTTTTAAAGCCTCTGATGAACACACGTGTGTGTGTTGGGGGGATATAAATCTGCACTTTGGCACTTTTGCATGGGAGAGTATGTCTTCTTCACCTCATCCCTCAGCACTGGGACTACAACAGTAACCACTTTGATCAACTGTCTGTCTTTAGGATTAAGTTTAATCAGACTGAGAATCTGCTGTTTACTGTTTGCACGTGTTTTACAAGACATCTTCCTAGCATGCTTTTCTACTGTTGACCAGTAAAACTGACCAGTGTACAGACAAACCAGGAAGAAGCAGCAATATTAGGCGTATAGCATCACTGCATTACTGAGGTCATGAGTCCTCCAACATGTTTGGACTGTTTATTTATTTCAACCAATAATTGTTACTTGTTTTCATCACATTTTGGTCATAAACGTTCTGGCTTAATGGTGATCATAAATAAATATTTTGAGGCAGTTTAACCCCATTGGATATAATATTTATTTGTAGATGTAAACATTATTAAAAATCCCAAATTCTCAGAAGAAGGTGCAGATGATATGAGCAGACAGTTCACCCAAAACTGAGATACTTTTGGTTTCTTTGTGTGCGTTTCTGCTCTTTCATCCAGGTTCTGCAGAGGCTAGTCAAGTCCAGAGGGAAGTCCCAGAGCAAACACCTGAACGTCCAGCTCGTGGCAGCAGACAAACTAGCCCAGTGTCCACCGGTAAGCCAACTTTCTCCTCCTGCGCTGGCTTGTGTGGCTCGTTGTTCTCGTACTTTTACAGTTTCTGTATTTAAAAAGTTGCCCATAAACTTTGTTTCTGCACTCCCAAACAAATGCATCTTAAGGTCAAACAAGAGTCAGGGAGATTTTTATGTCTTGGAGAGCAAAAACTGGAAGCACTTGTATTTATTGAAGCCGTTGATATGATGTTTATTATCATTACTCCTTGTGCTAATGTACATTCATAGCTGAGCCTCACATACAGTGTAAGAGTGGACATAATGTATTTCACGTGTCCTCTGCTGCTAACAGGAAATGTTTGACATCATCCTGGATGAAAACCAGCTGGAGGACGCCTGTGAGCATCTCGCCGAGTATCTCGAGGCATACTGGAAAGCGACCCACACCTCGATGGCGACGCCCCTGAACCCCCTGCTGGGACGCAACCTGGGCCCCACCACACTCACGCCCTACCCCACCAGCATCTCTGGACTGCAGGTACACATCCACCTGTACCAAAATGATTTTCTTTGACCTTGATGGGTGTGGTTCAGATAATAAAAGTAAAAAGAGTAAACCCAGCCTATTGCAAATCATTTTTATTCATTCTCCTCTTCATTCATGTTATTTAAAAAGAGTTATACCTTCCAAATTTGTAGCATTTGTTTTTTGAAATAAATTGTTGTGTCTAGTCACAACAGTTGGAGTTGTGGCATTTTGTTCTCTGGGAAATAACAGTTTGTCCATTAAATCTACACCAGAGTGTTGGCACTGTAGCATCCTGCATAATCCAACTGTTTTATTATCAGCTTAAAGAAAGATCCCTGATTTAATGTGTCAACAAAGAAACCATTGATGCTTCCCTCTGATAACCTTGCAGATATGGAGTGAGCTGTTCTTCGTGTGTCTTCAGTGAAGAACCATGAAATGTTAAATATTTTCAGTGGTGCCAGAGCCTAAATTTCTGTCACGCTCAAAAAGAAATACAGAAGACTCTGCGTCAATGCAAAAGTCATGTACACATTTAATCCATGTATGTTGACTCAGTGTGGACAGTAAGGGACAAGGATAAGCATGTTTATCAACTTGCAAAACTTGCAAAAGTATTTTTACATTATACTTACTGTCATTGTCGCTGTGATCTTTCTTCTTCTCCCTGCGTCATCAGCAACTCAGCACAGTCCCACATATCAGAGAAAGTTAAACCTACACAAGTGTGTCGTTACATTAATACATTTGGTCAAACATTTTTGCTTTGCCATGTGTTTGCATGTTATTACTGTCATCTGTTTGCCTAACTGCGCAAATCCGACAGTGCATGTTTGATTCGACCTAAATTCTATCTCTGGCTCCTCCTCTTTTTGAACAGATTTTCACGATGTCCATGCTAAGCAAGTCATAATCCTATTTGCTGCAGGCAGTGAAATCTACACCCACTGATAACTCCCCATTAGAAATTGAAAGCAAACACGTGTGTGCATTTGTGTGGATACTGTGTTATTAGGTCTCTTCCATTCCCTCCTGAGCCTTATCTATGTCCTTGGTATGTTCGTGTGATTAGCAGAGCCAAAGAATGCGACAGAGTAACCACACAGGAGACCACTCGACCCCAAATGAACGTCGCAACCTGATGACATCAGATGAAAACTACCACAACGAGCGGGCACATAAGGGACGCAACCGCATGTCCTCTGGCTCCCAGCATAGCCGAGAGCAGCAGGACGCCTACCAGGACTACCAGGATCCCTATCAGGATGCATACAAGCCACATCGCAATCGCAGTTCACCGGGCAGCTATAGCCATGACTCCCGGCACCGGCTCTGAAAACACTCCTCTCGCCACAGTGGCCCACGCGGCCCAAAATTCCACCCAAAATAAACGCTGCAATAGAGCCAAGATGGTCCCAAATTGTACCTTTTTTTTCCCCCCTTTCTTTTTGATCTACTTGGCTATTTTTCCTCTTTCAAAGTAAAAAAGAATCACATTCAGGTATTTTCGTTTTAATCAAGCTGTCAGGGCAAACCCCCATCAGTCAACAGTGTGAGTAGTGAGGAGGTTCAGGCCAACATTAACAAAACTTGTAAAATTTCTTTAAGTTTCTGGGACCTTTTTGGGATTTTACTAACATAATGCTCAGCAGATGTGCAACACAGTGCTTGTTGCCGGTGTCAGCAGTCTAATTATGGATAGTAGTCAGATGGTGATGATGTACTGTATGGGCTTCTGAGTGCCTGAAGCGTCACACCCGGTCAGATGGAAGCCCTCTGCACACAAACTGCTGAAAGGCTGCTGCCCCTATCCTGGGCCATGTATAAATCCTCTCTTCATTTAGCTTATTGCATGCTTGTAGTTGATCAACCTCCGCATCCACTTCACTGATATTTTACTCTGGATTCTCCCATGATGAGGTGTAGATATGGAGGTCCAATTTTCACCTCGTTGTGGATAGGCGCTCGGTGGTGGGTTTGTGGGTTGGTTATGCAGATGATATCTGGCTGCTAGTTTTGAAAACTGGTGCTTCACATTCCCAAACTATTTTGCTATTTGAAAGTCACTTTGAGCAAGGCCAGCTTTTGTGTAGCATAGCTTCAGGATTTTATTTGGGTGAAGACCCTGACCGTCATAAGCAGAACAGACTCTGATGGTGCTGGGATCAGACCTCTGTTACACTGTAGAGGAAGGCAATACTGCTGCTGTTCTAAACAGCTAGCACTTAGAGAGTTAGACAAGGCAATAGCCGAGACTGTGTGATATTGTAGTGGATTACAATAGCAAAATTCTACTTGAGATGCAGTTGATACTGTTGAAATATGGACTGGCATTAAAACCAATGCAGGAGGAGCCTCTTTAGCTGGCTGGGATGTTCTTTCTTGACATTTTTGCCCCTGCCAGCGTCTTGTTTTTCTTCTGTTTGTTTGCTTGTTTGACGTGAAGTTCCATCTGCTGCTGAAGCTACAAATTATTTTGCACTTGTTAGCAGTAAAATCACAGTTACGTAGAGGTAAAACACACATATGGATGTCGGTTAGCATTAAGTCAAGTCACTGGTTAATCTCTGTCAAAGTTCCTTTTGTTGGCTTTAAGGGGTTGAAATGATATAAATGTTACACGGCAGGATTGGTTGCACCATGTTCGTTCCCTGTGTAGCTGGCATGTTTTCCTGACTGCAGAGCATGTTCCCTCCAAAGGTAAAAAAAAAAAAAAGCCCACTGTAATCAAGTTGGTGTTTGTACAAGTATGAGGCACGTTTCTCCAAAAATAGAAAAAAAAGAAAAGAAAATGTCCCAAACTGCAGACGAATGATATCTCTGGATCCTTGAGGGTAATCGCTCATTCAGTACACTGAAACGACACAAGCAAATATTTTGATAATTTAGAAAATGTTAAAGTGGCCTGCATGGTATAAAAGTGAAGCCATCTCACTGATAAGTTTCTGTTAGACCAGAAATATGTTATATATTAGAAAGTGCACTGAAACAACTGACACAGGCTGAACCCTCACAAAAAAGGGCAGTTTGCCCACATGGTGCTTTGTATGGAGCATGAGAGCTGCTGTGTTTGCTAATGATGATCTTAAGTTTTGTTAACAGAATTTGCTGTACATATCCCACTCTTTTAAGAGATAGTATTATCTTGTGATTCTGACTTAATCATCTTACTATTTCCAGATAATAAATGGTACCACTGGACCAACTTTAAGGTTTTCTATTAAAACAAAGTACTTAAAAAATGTATATTAGGTAACATTCAAGTGTCCTATTATAGTATATGCAAATAAGAGAAAGTCATGAGGATAAAGTAAGGAATCACGTTGCGTGTTATCAGAAGATAATAAGATGAATAAGTCGTCATGTTGACTAGAAAAACTGCTGGAACATTCTTTATTATCTTGGAAATTTGTGCTTCTTTCGATAAAAACTATTGTAAATTTGACAGTTTTTTGGCTTCCATATTTCTCCAGGACCAAAAACACAAAGAACAACCTAAATGCCTGTTTTTGCAGTGTACCTCACAACTCCCTGTATGTGATATGATACATACAGGAAGTGAGTGACACGGCTACATCACAAGGATTCAAATGTTTTCTTTCACTGTATGGAGGACCAAACGTGCCATGTAATTAAATACTAAATTTAAACCATGTTTACTGAGAAATGAATTAAAGCATTAAATATAAAGTATTTATTCCCCCAAGAAAATCAATCAATCAATAACACTGAAAAACTGAGTAATAACAATCTACTGTAATAACACAGTGCAGTTACTTTTAACTAGTTTGCTTTAAAAATCTATTTATTTTTTTAATAAGCATAGTTTGGTCCCAATCATGGCAAAATCTGAGCTTGGCACACCTGGAGAAATGTGATTTTTAGGAAAATTACCATATGTACAGTAAGAATTAGAATGTGTGTCAAAAGAGTTTTCTTTGGCATGTTAAACAAATACATCTATTCTAAATGTTAGTTCCCTTATGACAAAAACGATGTACAGTACTGACTGCTGCAGCACCAAATTAGATTGGTGCCTTATAAATAGCAAATTACTATTATTGTTTTGTCCGAGATCTATACAGAGTGTTCTCATAAACGTTTAATAGGAAGTGGGAGCTGTTTTTAGGCTGATTTTTATTATATTTTTGTTAGTTAAACATGTTCAATTACGAATAAGTACAATTTGTTCACAAGATTTTTCAAATTTGATTCTGGTATGGTGTTCTTATAAATGACATCAGATGGTGATGTAGCTACAGCACAAATAAGGATAAGCATGCTGCAGCCACTAGGTGGCAGCATGAGCAGGCCTAATAAAGTCTGTGTTGAAGCTGTAAAAGAAAATTAGCACTGAAAATCTTTGGTTGCTTGTGAGGTGCAGAGTTGTCCAACATAGGACATTAGCTTTACTAAATCTTGATGATATGCACTTCAGCCGGTCAGGAGGAACTTCTTCAAACTGTAGCATCTTTATTCTTTATTTGAATATTCAAAATCTAGACATGAACCACGACCGATATTTAACAGTCCCCAACAGTTCTACAGCCTGAAACAGTTTTGAGCTGTTGGGAGGCTTGATTAGATCATTTGGGGTTTTTTTTTTTTAGAAAAGGAGGCTGACGTGACATAATTTGACTTTCCCTGATTTTAAGCAGCTCTTATAAATTGATTTAAATGTAAAAGAAGGTGCAGTGGATCACTTTGCATAGATCTGGATAAAAGTACAGAAATAAATAATTTATGAAACAAATTGAATAGCACAAATGAGTAAGCAAAAACTACAGTGGTTATTGAGCAGCTGTTCCTACAATGTGAATCTGGGATAAAGGCACAGATTGTTTGTTTGCCTTGGTTTCCTGGTTATTTCCATGTTATCTAAATGGGAAAAGAGTGCATAAAACTACTGTTTACAAGCAGCTTATCTGTCTCATTGTGCCCCATAGCATAAAATCCATTGGTTGATTGAATAGCGAGACATTTACCATTCAAAATCAAACCAACCAATGCTGAGCTGGGCTGCTTGAGACAATCAGAAGGGATTTCCTGACCAGCGTCCCACCATTGCTCTCTTTATGAAGAGAAATGTAAGAATGAAATAATGCCACTTTCACACACAGACCTCCAGACCTGCTTTTCTTTGTTCCTTCTGACTTTATGTGTCAGCAAAAGTTTCTCTGCAAGCAAAATTCATCTTTGATTGATTTTTTTTCTCTGACTAAATCTCCAGGTGACCACAAAACACAGGACGTGTAGAGAAGATTTTCTTTGGTATAATATAAAACACAAAAAAGAACGAGAAAGTAAAAGAATAAACATTTATTCCAGTAGAAAAATAATACATGAATATTTGCTGTCAATTATTTTTATAAGAGATAAATGTACATAATGTCTTTGAGATGCGATTTGCTGTATACATGTGCTGAAATAAGACGAAGTCAACCCGTGTGGGACAACAGCAAGGTCCAGTATACAAAGTTTCAGTAATGTGCAATACAAGACGGCATGCTGTTTTAAAATGAGGAACTTCATGTACTGTACTATGCAACCGCAAACTGTGTACATCGCTTCATGCTGTGGCTTCTCCAAACACCCTTTTCCAAGCAGCTTCATCTGGACTTTTAGCGGATTTTTGTGTTTCTCTCTGTTTTTTTTTTTCTGTGGAAGAAGAAAATCTAAGCGGCTAATGCGGTATTGCATGCATAATAAACCACTCTAATTTATAAAAAGGAGTTCAAGAAAAATACATGGAACTGGAGGTGACTGTGTTTCAGCCAGAGCTTCAAGTGACTTAAAAATATTTCTTTTTCAAAATAAAAGAGTCGTTCTAAAGTCGTGTGCTTTAAATTCTTTAAGCAATGTTTCACACAAAAGATAAAAAAAACCCCAAACATTATTTGTCATCCTGTTAGAAGTAGCAATCAGAAAATGAGTACACTGTACACTCCCTAATTTCCTTCAGGATTAATAAAGTATTCTGATTCTGATTCTGTAGTGCTGAAGGGATGGATGTGGTCAGCAACAGTACCCAGGTAGGTTGCAGCATTCAAATGAAGCTCAGTTGGTATCAAGGAGCCCAAAGTGTTGAAATTGTTTCACACCATTATACCAACAACAGTATGATACATTTTAGTCCATAGGTGTCAAACTCTGGACCGCGGGCCATACCAAATTACTATTAGAGCTGGCCTACTGGTGTTATACAGCTAATATATATATTGTTTAGTATTAAGCTTTGCTTGTTCCATATTCAGTTTTCCAGCAAAACTTATTTGAGTCCATAAGAAAAGATTTATTCTTAAATCTGGAGGAAGATTTTTTTCCCCAATAAATATTAACATTAGCCCGCAACTTTGTTCCAGTTTTGAATTTTGGCCCACTGTGTATTTGAGTTTGACACCCCTGTTTTAGTCCATATTCGCAGTTGATCCACACTTTCATGTCGTTTACACCTAAATCTGACCCTACCATCTGAATATCTCTGCAAACATCAGGACCAGTCAACATTTTTCCACTGTTTTTGTGTGTGAATAGGTGAATGAGCCATGTTGTATAAATTGCTACGAGTGCTCAAGTACAGTAGGAAAAACCCCCCAGTCCATTTACCTGAGCTGGATTGACTAGGTAATCTCTCATGAAAAAACTGAAAAACTGCAGATGAATTAAACTACATGCAAAAAGGTAATAGCACTTAAAAAAAAACACAACCTTACAGGTATTGAAATTTTACAAAACATAGTTTTCGCAAATGTTAAGTAAATAGTTACAATGCTAATATTTTACTGCTATGTCTGTTTCACATTTTCATCACCTAATTATAACATCTAATCTTGCCTCTGGTATTTTATAAAGAGAGAAAATTAATAGAGAGTAGTGTTGAGTTTGGCTTACTGAGTTTATTCGGCCTCTACGGAAAATTAATCTCACACCATGATGCGTAGTTATACTACACTGAACAAAAATATAAATGCAACACTTTTGTTTTTGCTCCCATTTTTCATGAGCTGAAACATTTTCTACATACACAAAGGACCCATCAAATATTGTTCACAAATCTGTCTTAATCTGTGTTAGTGAGAACTTCTTGTTTGCCATGAACATCCATGCCACCTCACAGGTGTGGCTTGTCAAGGTGCTGATTAGACAGCATGAATATGGCACAGGTGTATGGGGTGCCGTTTGTAAAGTGAAACATGCTGAAATTAATGGCAACATTTTTCCACATCTAGCTCAAAACCTTACAAAAACATGTTTTTTCAAGTCATTTTTTACAATATTTAGTAAAATGTTTGTAACTTTTCAAATTTAACCACAATTTTACATGTTAAATCTAAATAATATATTTAAATCTAAATCTAAATGTTAAATCTAAATGGTAAATGTTAAATCTAAATGTTAAATGTTAAATCTAAATGTTAAATGTTAAATCTAAATGTTACAGGAAACGAAATATTTAGCTAACATGCAAATTAATTGTACGGATCAACGGAAATGCCAAAATGAAAGCTTTACGAAAACCTCCGGTGCAAAAGTGTGCTGGTAGTAGTCAGATTGTGTCTGTTCTCCCCGGATGGTCACTTCTCACCGCCATGAGCGGCTTCACTTCTTGCCTACCAGCCCTTGCAGGTTTTCGTAAAGCTTTCATTTTGGTATTTCCGTTGATCCGTACAATTAATTTGCATGTTAGCTAAATATTTAGTTTCCTGTAACATTTAGATTTAACATTTAGATTTAAATATAATATTTAGATTTAACATTTAACATTTAGGTTTAACATTTAACATTTAGATTTAATATTTTACATTTAGATTTAAATATAATATTTAGGTTTAACATTTAGATTTAGATTTCAATTTAATATTTAGATTTAACATTTAACATTTAGATTTAAATATAATATTTAGATTTAACATTTACATTTAGATTTAAATATAATATTTAGATTTAGCATTTAGATTTAACATTTAGATTTAACGTTTAACATTTAGATTTAACGTTTAACATTTAGATTTAACATTTAAAATTGTGTTTTAAATATGAAAAGTAACAAATATTTTACCCCATACTGTAAAAAAATGAATCGAAAAAACAAACATGTTTTTGCAAAGTTTTGAGCTAAATGTGGAAAAATGTTGCCGTTAATTTCAGCATGTTTCACTTTACAAACAGAATCAGAATCAGAATAAGAATACTTTATTGATCCCTGGGGGAAATAATTTTTTGTTACAGTGCTCCATTATAAACCAACATTAAGACAAGACAGACAATACACTAACTAAGAATAGTACAATATATACATATAGATACATACATACATACATACATACATAAGTCACTCGGCGCCCCATACAGGTGTGCCTTAGACCACTGGTCCCCAACCCAGCGGTCCGTGAGTCGTTTGGTACTGGGCCGCGAGAGTTGAGGCTCAAGTGTGAAGTGTATGGTTTTCAGGGGTTTTATCGGTTTTCAGCGTTATTTTATTATCGTTTTTATCGTTAACTCGGTTTTCCTGGGTCTTTTCACGTGTGTTATGAATAAAT